GAGAAATTCCTTTCTTTTTTTGAGATGGAGTTTTGCTCTTGTCACCCAGGCTGGAGTACAGTGGCACTGCAACCTCCGCCTCCTGGGTTCAAGTGATTCTCCAGCCTCAGCCTCCCGAGTAGCTGGGATTTCAGGTGCCCGCCACCAGACCCAGCTAATTTTCATATTTTTAGTAGAGATGCAGTTTCTCCATGTTGCCTAGGCTGGTCTCAAACTCCTGACCTCAGGTGATCCTCCTGCCTCGGCCTTCCAAAGTGCTGGGATTACAGGCGTGAGCCACCACACCAGGTAAGAAATTATTTTAGAAAAGCTTCTAGTGTAGCCTGAAATTGATGGAATTCTATGCTTATTGTCAGAAGCAACTTTTTAAAATTGATAGTTAACGACAATGTATTGTATATTCCAGAAGCAACTCTTTGAAAGTGGCTAGTTCTAAAGAGAATTAAGGAGGGACAATTAATTTTCTACAAGGTCTAGCTAAGGAAGTTAAAAAGTTAATTAAGGCAGCAGTCTCACTCAAAGATAAGGTTTCAGAGAGAAGCTGAAAGAATCCACAGTCTTAGGTGCTGATAGTTAAGAGTTCGCAAGGAAGTTGCTGGGGGCTTGGCACCTTCCAAGAAACTTTCTCATGCAGTCCCCACAAATTACTGATGTTAATGAAAGTGTCATTTTTTTTGTATATTCCTGGCCGGGCACGGTGGCTCACGCCTGTAATCCCAGCACTTTGGGAAGCCGAGGCGGGTAGATCACTAGGTCAAGAGATCGAGATCATCCTGGTGAACTTGGTGAAACCCCGTCTCTATTAAAAATACAAAAATTAGCTGGGCATGGTGGCACAGCCTGTAGTCCCAGCTACTTGGGAGGCTGAGGCAGGAGAATTGCTTGAACCCAGGAGGCGGAGGTTGCGGTGAGCCGAGATCGTGCCATTGCACTCCAGTCTGGGCAACAACAGCGAAACTCCGTCTCAAAAAAAAAATAAAATATAATAATAATAATAATAATAATTTAAAAATAACTTTTACCTACTGCCAAAAAAAAAAAAAAAGAGAGAGAGAGTACAGTAATGTCTAAGTCTTTCAGTTATTGTTTTTACCACTTTCACTGGGAGGGGGAAAGGACGGAAGTCAAAGTATGTGTGTGTCCCTTAGTAAAACCCCAACAGGAGATTTTTTTTCCCTAGTGACAACCAGTTTAATTTAGCAGGGCCTGGAGGCTGAATACCATACGAAGTATTCTATATGCCGGGCGCGGTGGCTCACGCCTATAATCCCAGCACTTTGGGAGGCCGAGGCGGGTGGATCATGAGGTCAAGAGATCGAGACCATCTGGTCAACATGGTGAAACCCCGTCTCTGCTAAAAAAAAATACAAAAATTAGCTGGGTGTGGTTGCGCATGCCTGTAGTCCCAGCTACTCGGGAGGCTGAGGCAGGAGAATTGCTTGAACCCAGGAGTTGGAGGTTGTGGTGAGCCAAGATCGCGCCATTGCACTCCAGCCTGGGTAACAAGGGTGAAACTCCGACTCAAAAAAAAAAAAAAAAAAGTATTCTATAAAGATGTATTCTCAGGTCGGGTGCTGTGGCTAATGCCTGTAATCCCAACACTTTTGGAGGCTGAGGTAGGTGGATCACAAGGTCAGGAGTTTGAGACCAGCATGACCAATTTACTGAAACCCTGTCTCTGCTAAAAATACAAAAATTAGCTGGGTGTGGTGGCACGTGCCTGTAGCCCCAGCTACTTGAGAGGCTGAGGCAGAAGAATTGCTTAAACCGGGAGGCGGAGGTTGCACTCCAGCCTGGGAGACAGAGTGAGACTCCATCAAACTGGCTTTTGATCCACTAGCCTATTTAGTTCGCCACTGTGCTCCAGCCTGGGCAACAGAGCGAGACTCCATCTCAAAAAAAAAAAGAAAAATATGTATTCTCAAGGGCCATTAAGTCCTATTTCTCTGGACCCTCACCCATGGTGGCACAAAGGCAGAGAAGTACTGTTAGGCTCCTTGTGCTACATGAATTAATCCTTTATAGTGAGGAAGTTTCTGAGGGGGATATCTGATCTTGGTGACCCCAAACACATCAAAGATGATACCTAGCATCTCAACAGCTGTGTGAGTGCAGAAGATCAAGCAGATTATCAAGCAAAGTTGTCATAAAGCCCCTTAGTTGAGACAAGATGCAATGTTCCATAAAAGCCTGAGACAGGAACATTGGTTGTATACGAGGAAGCAGGAGTAGCTGACTTCACAAGATCATGCCCAAGACACATAATTAGCAGATTCTGAGGGTTGAAATGAAAAAGAAAATGTTAAGGGCAGCCAGAGAGAAAGGCCAAGTCACCTACAAAAGGAAGCCCATTAGAGTAACAGCAGACCTCTCAGCTGAAATTCTACAAGCCAAAAGACATGGGGGGGGGGGCCAATATTCAACATTCTTAAAGAAAAGAAATCCCAACCCAGAATTTCATATCCGCCAAACTAAGCTTCATAAGTGAAGGAGAAGTAAGATCCTTTTCAGACGAGTAAATGCTGAGGGAATTTGTTACGAGAGCTCGTGAAGGAAGCACTAAGTATGGAAAGGAAAAACCATTACCAGCCACTACAAAAACACATGGAAGTATGCAGATCGGTGACACTATTAAGCAACCACATAAACAAGTGTGCAAAATAACGAGCTAAAATGATGACAGGATCAAATCCACATATAACAAAAATAACCCCAAATTGAAATAGGCTAAATGACCTAATTAAAAGACAGAGAGTGGCAAACTGGATAAAGAACCAAGACCCATTTTTTTTCGAGAGACCCATCTCACATGCAATGACAAACATATGCTCAAAATAAAGGGATGGAGAAAAATCTACCAAGCAAATGGAAAACAGAAAAAAGCAGGGGTTGCAATTCTAGTTTCTGATAAAACAGACTTTAAACCAACAAAGATTTTTAAAAAGACAAAGACGGGCATTATATAATGGTAAAGGGTTCAATTCAATAAGGCTTAACTATCCTAAATATAATATGTACCCAACATAGGAGTACCTTGATTCATAAAGCAATTTCTTAGAGACCTTAAAAGAGACTCAGACACTGACACAGTAATGTTGGGAGACTTCAACACCCCACTGACAATATTAGACAGATCATTGAGACAGAAAATTAACAAAGATATACAGGATCTGAACTGAGCACTGGATCAAATGGATCTGATACATATTACAGAACTCTCCACCCAAAGCAGCAAAATAAACATTCTTCTCATCACCACACAGCACATGCTCTAAAATCAATCACATAAGGCTGGGTGTAGTGGCTAACGCCTGTAATCCCAGCATTTTGGGAGGCCAAGGTGGGCAGATCACCTGAGGTCAAAAGTTCGAGACCAGCCTGGCCAACATGATGAAACCCCATCTCTACTAAAAATACAAAAATTAGCCGGGCATGGTGGTGCACACCTTTAGTCTCAGCTACTCAGGAGGCTGAGGCAGGAGAATCACTTGAACCGGGGAGGCAGGGGTTGCAATGAGCCAAGATTGTGCCATTGCACTCTAGCCTGGGCAACAAGAGCAAAACTCCATCTTAAAAAAAAAAAATTTAATCACATAATAGGGAGTGAAACACTCCTCAGCAGATGGAAAATAACTGAAATTTAACAGTCTCTCGGGCCACAGCACAACTAAATGAAAAACCAAAGCTGAGTTTTTGGGACCCTAGAATTGGGCCTGAGAGGATTTCTTCTTCTTCTTCCTTTTTTTTTTTTTTAGAAATATAGACGGGGTTTCACTATGTTAGTCAGGCTGGTCTTGAACGCCTGACCTCGTGATCCACCCGCCTCGGCCTCCCAAAGTACTGGGATTACAGGCGTGAGCCACCGCGCCCAGCCAGGATTTCTTTAGAGAAATCAAGGTGAGTGTTTGGGGAAGAGGTCAACACGTGTGCATATAACTACACTAATAAGGTAGGCATTAACTCCACTGGGATTGATATTTGGGTAGTATGCATGGACAGAGCTGTATAGGTTGCTAAAATATTTTAAAACTTCTATACTGATTTGTATCACTCTTCACTCACACTACCACCACCTTGATTCCTTCATGAGAACTCCTCCCCCTCAGACCTCCCCATATAATTCAACAACTAAATGGTTAATGACTGGCATAGCAGGGGCCTCCAGGACACTGCTCTAACACTAGGGCCACCAAAGTTAGTAGGTTGTCAGAGTCCCTTCCAGGTGTCAAATATTTACAATATCACCTCTAATTATCTCTACATACCCTGGGGAGAAACCAAGGTGCAGAGAGGCCAAGTTCACACAGCTAGTTCTATGGCTGATTTTGTCCCCTGAAAATTCGCATGTTGAAGCTCTGACCCCCAGTACCTCAGAATGTGACTGTATTTGGAGACTGAGCCTTTAAAGAAGTGATTAAGTTAAAATGAGGCTGTTAGGGTGAGCCCTAATCCAATCTGACTGGTGTCCTTTTAAGAAGAGAATATTGACCAAGAAGCAGCTTCTCCGCTCCTTCTGGAATCTCCATCTGCTTCAGCCCGCCTGCCTCCACACATACCTCCACGATGTCCATCAGGGCGACCCAGAAGTCCTACAAGGTGTCCACCTCTGGCCCCTGGGCCTTCAGCAGCCACTCCTACACGAGTGGGCCCAGTGCCAACATCAGCTCCTCGAACTTCTCTAGAGTGGTCTGCAGTAGCTTCCGGGGTGGCCTGGACAGAGGTTATGGTGGAGCCAGAGGCATGGGAGGCATCACCGCTGTCATGATCAACCAGAGCCTGCTGGGCCCCCTTAACCTGGAGGTGGACCACAACATCCAGGCCGTGTGCACCCAGGAGAAGGAGCAGATCAAGACCCTCAACAACAAGTTTGCCTCCTTTGTGGACAAGATATGGATCCTGGAGCGGCAGAACAAGATGCTGGAGACCAAGTGGAGCCTCCTGCAGCAGCAGAAGACAGCTCGGAGCAACATGGACAACATGTTTGACATCAACAACCTTAGTCGGCAGCTGGAAATACTGGGCCAGGAGAAGCTGAAGCTGGAGGCAGAGCTTGGCAACATGCAAGGGCTGGTGGAGGACTTCAGGAACAAGTATGAGGATGAGATCAACAAGTGTACAGAGATGGAGAATGAATTTGTCCTCATCAAGAAGGATGTGGATGAAGCTTACATGAACAAAATAGAGCTGGAGCCTCTCCTGGAAGGGCTGACTGATGAGATCAACTTCCTCTGGCAGCTGTATGAAGAGGAGACCCTGAAGCTGCAGTCTTATATCTCGGACACGTCTCTGGTGCTGTCCATGGACAACAGCCACTTCCTGGACATGGACAGCATCATCACTGAGGTCAAGGCGAAGTATGAGGAGCTTGCCAACCACAGCTGGGCTGAGGCTGAGAGCATGTACCAGATCAAATATGAGGAGCTGCAGATGCTGGCTGGGAAGCACGGAGCGACCTGCAGCAAAGACTGAGATCTCTGAGATGAACCAGAACATCATCTGGCTCCAGGATTACGTTGAGAGCCTCAAAGGCCAGAGGGCTTCCCTGGAGGCCTCCATCACAGATGCCTAGCAGCGTAGGGAGCTGACCCTTAAGTATGCCAACGCCAAGCTGTCGAGCTGGAGGCCGCCCTGCAGCAGGCCATGCAGGACATGGAGCAGCAGTTGTGTGAGTACCAGGAGCTGATGAACGTCAAGCTGGCCCTGGACATCGAGATTGCCACCTACACGAAGCTGCTGGAGGGTGAGGAGAGCTGGCTGGAGTCTGAGATGCAGAACATGAGTATCCACACAAAGAACACCAGCAGCTATACAGGTGGTCTGAGCTCGGCCTATGGGGGCCTCACAAGCCCCAGCCTCAGCTACGGCTTGGGCTCCAGCTTTGGCTTTGGCATGGGCTCCAGCTCCTTCAGCCACACCAGCTCCACCAGGCCATGGTTGTAAAGAAGATCGAGACCCGCGATGGGAAGCTGGTGTCCAAGTCCTCTGACGTCCTGCCCAAGTGAACAGCTGTGGCAGCCCCTCCCAGCCTGCCCTTCCTGCGGCTGCCCCAGAGCCCAGGAGGGAGGCTGCTGTGCACGGTAGCACAGGGAACAGGAGACCCACCCGAGGCTCAGCCCTAGCCCTCAGCTTACCCATGGGGGAGTTTACTGCCTGGGGACCCCTCTTGCCCATGGCTCCATCTACCAAACAATTCAATTGATTTTTTCGTGTGTGTCCAAAATAAAACCTCAGCTAGCTCTGAAAAAAAAAAAAAAAGAATAAGACAATATTGGAAAAGACAGTCACACCAGGGATACATTCACACAGACCATGTTGAGGACGTAGCAACAAGGCAGCCATTGGCAAGCCAAGGAAAAAGGCCTCAAAAGAAACCAACCCTGCTAACACCTTGATATTGGACTTCCAATCTTCACAACTGTGAGGAAATACGTTTCTGTTGTTTTTTATTTTTATTTTTATTTTTAAATTTATTTTTATTTTTATTTTTTTACTTTTTTTTTTTTTATATCAGCACAAAAACCTGAATATGTTTCTGCTGTTTTAAGCTACCAATTATGTAGCATTTTGTTATGGCAGCCCTTGCAAACTAACATAGCTAGGTAATAACAGAGAGAGAAGTTCACCCCAGGTCTATTTGCCTCCAAGCCCATGCTCTGAACAGATTTTGCTTTCCCTATTTAGACAATGAAGGGAGTCAGCTCTTATGAGAATCCATTGAGGGAAAGGATTTGGGACAGTATCTAGAGACATGACTCCTCAGAGAGTATTCTTACCTGCCAGGAAAGATCTAAGAGCAGCGCCTTGTGCACAGTAAGTGCTCATAAAGTGTGTGTGGAGCTAAATGAGGGTGTACCTCAACACAGGGTCTGAAAAGAAAAAATAACAAGTTTCCTAACCCTAGAGTACCCAAATCCCAGAAACTGGTGCTAAAAGCAATTCACTGGAAAGCCTTCACTGCATGATGTGAACTAAGGAGTAGAACTAGGGTTTCTCAAGTAACCCTCCACTAATATACTCTCTATATCCACACTTACATGAAACAATGCAAGCCCTCCCCTCCGCATACCATATACACTCACTTGAAACTCTGACATACACTCTCACTCACATACAGATTCTTGCAAAGCTTGCATGAGCTCCCATAGACACCTCTTACCCACACTTTCATATATATTCTGCCATAGTCTTATGCCCTACACTCTGATACAAATACATTCATTCATATATATATTCTCCCAGACACCACAACCTCCCGCCATTCACATATGTTCCACATACACATTAGGAGCTCTCATATTTTCACATGCATTTCGTTTGTTCACATACATTTATACGCTCACATATATACATATGGATATTTGAACATACATAGAAAATAGTCCAGCTGGGCACAGTGGCTCACATCTGTAATTCCAGTGCTTTAGGACGCCAAGGCAGGAGGATCACTTGAGCCCTTGAGACCAGGAGCCCAGCCTGGCCAACATAGGAAGATCCCATCTCTAAAATATATATAAATATATATACATTTTTTCTTTCTTTCTTTTCTTTTTTTTTCTTTTCTTTTGAGACAGAATCTTGTTCCGTTGCTAGGCGCCAGGCTGGAGTGCAGTGGCACAATCTTGGGTCACTGCAACCTCTGCCTCCCAGGTTCAAGCAATTCTCCTGCCTCAGCCTCCCGAGTAGCTGGGACTACAGACATGTGCCACCAGGCCCAGCTAATTTTTGTATTTTTAGTAGAGATGGGGTTTCACCATGTTGGCCAGGATGGTCTCGATCCCTTGACCTCACGATCCGCCCTCCTTGGCCTCCCAAAGTGTTGGGATTACAGGCGTGAGCCACCGCGCCTGGCTATATATATATATATATATATATATATATATATATATATATATATATACATATACATATATTTTGAGACAGAGTCTTGCTCTGTCACCCAGACTGGAGTGCAATGGCATGATGTCGGTTCACAGCAACCTCTGCCTCCCGGGTTCAAGCGATTTTCCTGCCTCAGCAGGAATCCCTGAGTAGCCGGGACTACGGACGTGAGCCACCACACTCGGCTAAATTTTTTGTACTTTTAGTAAAGACGGGTTTCACTGTATTAGCCAGGATGGTCTCAATCTCCTGACCTCGTGATCTGCCTACCTCGGCCTCCCAAAGTGCTGGGATTACAGCCATGAGCCACTGTGCCTGGCTCTATGAATTTTTTTAAAAACTAGCCAAACAATCATAGATTGTTTTATATCAGGGAAATGTAAAAACTGATATGTTTTTTGATGATATTAAGAAATTATTTAATGTGTAACAAGAGCAAGATAGAATACATTTTTTAAGAGCCCTTATCGCAGGGTGTGGTGGCTCATGCCTGTAATCCCAGCACTTTGGGAAGCCGAGGCAGGTGGATCACCTGAGGTCAGGAGTTCAAGACCAGGCTGGCCAATATGGTGAAACCCCATCTCTACTAAAACTAGAAAAAAAAATTAGCTGGGCATGGTGGCAGGTGCCTGTAACCCCAGCTACTTGGGAGGTTGAGGCAGGAGAATTGCTTGGAACAGGGAGGCGAAGGTTGCGGTGAGCTGAGATCACGCCATTGCACTCCAGCTTAGGTGACGGAGTGAGACTCTGTTTCAAAAAAATAAAAATAAAAGAGTCCTTATTTTGGCCAATCACAGTTGCTCAGGCTTGTAATCCCAGCACTTTGGGAATCCCAGGCGGGTGTAACACTTGAGGTCAGGAGTCCGAGACCAACCTGGCCAACATGGTGAAACTCTATCTCTAGTAAAAATACAAAAATTAACTGGCCATGATGGCAGATGCCTTTAATCCCAGCTACTCAGGAGGCTGAGGCAGGAGACTCGCTTGAACCCGGAAGGCGGAGGTTGCAGTGAGCCTAGATCGTGTCACTGCACACCAGCCTGGGTGACACAGCAAGACTCTGTCTCAAAAAACAAACAACACACACACACACACACACACACAGATGGGAAAGATAAGAAAATATAAATAAGAAAGAGTTATGTAAAGCATCCAGGCTGTAGTAGAGAAGTAAGAAATGATAGCTCCTTTTCCAATATCATGTTGCCTCTTTATATCATCAGTTAAGCTGGAGTTGGCCTGGCACAGTGGTTCATACCTGTAACCCCAGCACTTTGGGAGTTCAAGTCAGGAAGATCACTTGAGTCCAGGAGTTCGAGACTAGCCTGGGCAACATAGGGAGACCCCACGTTGAAACCACCATTGCAAAATTATAGAAGATTGTTACGGTGAAAGAGATCTGACCTAACCAACTCCAGCTTCCTTTAATCTCTCAACAGTCCTTGTTCATTCCTGGGCATAGGCCGAGCTAACTTTGAAAGAAACTTAGTTTATAGTTTAACTTTGAAACAAAGATAATAACTGCCCTTTCCCAAAACAAACCCCCTTCCTGCCTGGGAACTAGACTGTTTTTATAGGACTAAGAAATTAGCCACAAGATTAGAAATTACTATTTAGGGCCAGGCACAGTGGCTCGCATCTGTAATCTCAGCACTAAGGCAGGTGGATGACTTGAGGTCAGGAGTTAGAGACCAGCCTGGCCAACATGGTGAAACCTGGTATCTAATAAAAATACAAAAAATTAGCTGGGCATGGTGGCACCTGCCTGTAATCCAGCTACTCAGCAGGCTGAGGCATGAGAGGTTACAGTGAGCCAAGATCCTGTCACTGCACTCCAGCCTGGGCAACAAAGGAAGTCTCTGTCTCATTAAAAAAAAAAAAAAAAGAAAGAAAGAAAGAAATTATGGTTTAGGAGTCATGCAGCTAGAGGTTATAAGATTGTGACCCTAGGGCTGGGCGCGGTGGCTCACGCCTGTAATCTCAGCACTTTGAGAGGCCGTGGTGGGCGGACTACCTGAGATCAGGAGTTCAAGACCAGCCTGGCCAATACGGTGAAACACTGTCTTTAAAAAATAAATAAAAAATAAATAGGAAGCATCCCAGCAACCCCACCACGCTGGTCTTCCCTGGACACCATGAACCACACTGTCTCAACCTTCTTCACTCCTGCCAGCACCGACCGTCCCCCGAACTATGAGATGCTGAAGGAGGAACATGAGGTGGATGTGCTGGGGGCGCCCCACAACCCTGCGCCCCCGACATCCACTGTGATCCACATCTGAAGCGAGACCTCCGTGCCTGACCACGTCGTCTGGTCCCTGTTCAACACCCTCTTCGTGAACTCCTGCTGCCTGGTGAAATCTAGGGACAGCAAGATGGTTGGCGACCTGACCGGGGCCTAGGCCTATGCCTCCACCACCAAGTGCCTGAACATCTGGGCCCTAATTTTGGTCATCATCATGACCATTCTGCTGATCATCATCCCAATACTGATTCTGCAAGTCTATCAGTAGATCCAGAGGAATCACCCGGGCCAGGGGCTCCGCCCGTGACCTGTCTCCCGTTTACTCCAGTTTCCATTCCTCGCCCTGCCCCCAGCCCATCCTGTCTCAGCCCTTTACCCTCACACACTTTTCTACAGTGGAGTTCAATAAAGTGCATGTGCTCCTGGAAAAAAAAAAAAATAGATAAATAAAAATAAAAAATAAGATTGTGACCCTCCCCAAATTGCTCTGGGGGAGCAATAACATCACTATTGTAAAACCTGTGAACCCTGAATATCTGAGACTGGTCCCAGTCAATTTAGAAAGTTTATTTTTCCAAGATTAAGGACACAGGCACCACTGAAACAGCCTCAGGAGGTCCTGATGACACGTGCCTGAGGTGATTGGAGCACAGGTTGGTTTTATACACTTTAGGGAGACATTAGACATTAATCAATGTATGTAAGATGAACAATGGTTCTGTCCAGAAGGGTGGGACAACTGGAAGCAAAGGTGGGAGAACTCGAAGCAGGGAGGGGGCTTCCAGGTCATAGGTAGGTAAGAGACAAATGGTTACATTCTTTTGAGCTTCTAATTAGTCTTTCCAAAGGAGGCAATCAGATATGCATTTATCTCAGTGAGCAGAGGGATGACTTTGAACAGAATGGGAGGTGGCTTGGCCAGGTATGGTGACTCACGCCTGTAATTCCAGCATTTTGGGAGGCCAAGGTTGGCGGATCCCTTGAGCCCAAGAGGTTAAGGCTATAGTAAGCTGTGATCACACTGTAACTGCCCAATGGGTTCTAATTGCCTGCTGACTAGATAGAGTCATTCTATCAAGATAGGAGAATTGCAACAGAGAAGCAATTCAATACACAT